CTCAGTTTCCATATGCCAAGCATCTTCTCACTCTGACACTGGAATTCCCTAAGTAAGGGCTCTGCTTCCCCATCCCCAGTAAACTGAAGGTCAAGATGGCCCTGATAACCTCCCCCCACCCCTGCAGCTTCCCCACTTGGATCCCCTGCTCACTGCTGGCCAGGAGAATTCTGGCCCATCCCCACACAGAGGTCACCATGTGACCTGCCAAGTATCCTCTCCTTCCTGAAGGAAGAAACAACCAGAGGCCAGCTCAGAAAGAGCAAGGTCACCAGACTCCCCTGATAGGACCGCCAGGAGAACAGAGGACTCGTGTTGGGGACACATATTAATCACTTGGGGGTGGGGAAGGGATACAACATTCTACAGAGACAAAAAAAAAAAAAGACTGATTCCCACAGAGCAACCACAGCTCCTGACATTGTGTTAATTATCTGCTTCAGCTCAGGGTGGGACAGGCAAGGGAAACGTGGATAAAGCCAGACCAGAGGTTTAGCACCAGGGAGAGACTCACAGCACCAGGCTGACAGCAATAACAAGAAAGGTGAGAAGATGCTGTCAGAAGAAAAGGACAGCCCTCAAGGTCACCCAGGATGGCAGCTCTGCTGAGTTGCACCTCATGCCCAGCAGCCCACAGGGAGAAGGAAGCAGGGCAGAGATGAGGCTAACACAGCCCCAGGGCTCAGGGTAGGGGCAGATGTGCAAGAAAGGGGAAGCCACTATTCCATGAGGAGGAGCTGCTCAGATTGCCAGAAGAGTCACACTTCCTACCTCCCCTCCCCTCCTCCAGATGCTGCTGCGCCAGCAACCCCAAATAAAAACTGCCCCATGACCAAGAGATGAAGCCTGTGAGTCCTAATGACTGGTTATTGAGACAGCCACCACCACCCCACCCCACTCCCACAGCCCCAGACACCTGGACTCCAGGCCAGGGGTTGGAGCAGGAGCCAGAGCCAGAGACCCAAGTGTCTAAAAAGCAGGGTCACACCTGGGCACCAATGGACAAAAGGCTGTGGGATCGTGGGTCATCGGCCCGCCACAGTTGCAGGTAGGTCCCCTGGAAGCTAAGCGATGAGAAGAATCCCCTACAGGCCCTTCCACCCTTTTAGGGTAATGAGCTGCATTTCCCCTCAGGTGCTTCCCAGGGCTCCAAAACCACTCTTTACAGAAGTCTCAGAATGTTACGACCAGCTAGGCAGAAGCCCTAGTCCCAAACCTATGTCCTCCAAAGCCACAGGCCTCCCTGTACTTCCCTTCTCCCCCCAAAAAACTCTAACTTCACAGTCTGGACAGGGGCTGGCAGTGGCCCCTTGGGGAACAACAGTTTTGCTCTTTGTGATGAAAAAAGACAACTGGTCCCAACCCAAATGGAACCCACAGCTTCAGCTTTTCCAAGGCATCAGCCTCTAGCCACTGATACAATAGGCCTCTATATCCCAGGCTTTACAAGCTGGGACCACTTTACTCTATATCAGGTTGAGGGAGAAGTCAGATGTAGGGCTCCACATAGCAGGGTTGTTCCCTTTCTTCCCCAAACACACACAGACCACCCCTCCCAGAAGGCCAAGAGCAGGGCTCCCCTACCCAAATGGCCTCATGGCAGATTCCCTAGCTTCCCACTACAAAACTTTTGCTGCTTCTGCCATCCTACCCCTGTGTGGGTCACAGGGACTTTCACCTGGGGCCACAATCCACAGCAATACCATAATGGCCAGAAGGGTACAAATGACCCACCTGACCCCATAGGGAACAGAGAGAATCACATGTGTCTTGAGAACCAGACACAGCGCCCACTGGAGAAAGCGAGGAGAGATGTTGCTGGGAAAAAACAGAAAGGAATTACCAAAGAGGCAACTCAGGGTTTTCAGACCCATCAGAACCATGAAGACCCATGTATGGCTCCATCAAGGGGAAGAGGGTCTCATCAAGTGATCTTGTGTAACACATTAAATTCTGTTTTGAGAATTTCCCCTTATTATTTGGAAGCCTCCAGTGAAATCTCTCACCTCAAAGGGTGCCCCTGCTAAGGATCTTCAGGGCCTACTGGGGCACCTAGAACCTTCACCACCACCAGCACATGAGGCAGGGCCCCAGAATAACTCAACATTACCACTGTGAAAGCTTCTATGTATCTGGAACTACACTAAGGCTTTTATAGATGTATCTTATTCAATCTGTATAACTCATGATAACTATGTACCATGACCTTTTCAGAAATGAGGAAACAGATTAAGTAACTTGCCTACTAGTAGGTCACAAAACTGGGAATAAAACCCTGTCCCCAGATTTTCTAGTACTGTGCTGTCTCCCAGGGCAGGGGTAGACCTAGGCAAGGCTGCTAGGGAGGAGAGCTATAGAGCCACAGCCAGATCTGAGCCTGGCTTCGGGACCACAGATGTTTCCCAAACCAATCCTGGCTCTCCAGGCTCTAGCAGCAGAGAGAACTGCAGAGGCTGCAAAGGGCAAGCTCCTTTCATTGGGAACCCCCAGACTCCTGTCACCTCCCGTGTCCCAAGCTTTTCCAGCCTCCATGTTTTTGACTATCTCCCCTATCACAATGAGAAGCTTTTCCACAGCAGGGGATGTCTTCTGGACAAGCACTGCCAATGTCACCAAAACCTCCTTCCATCATCACTGCTGTTCACCTACCCCCCTACCATGTCCAGGGCCTGTGCTAGGCACTTCACCTGCATTCTCATTTCATCCCTAACATCAACCTTAGGAAGGTGTGAATTATCCCCATTTTACAGATGAAAAAACTGAGTCTCCAAGAGTTTCCTGAACTTGCCACAAAGTGCGAGGTTTAAGACTGGGGTCTGCTCTTGCACAACTTGTCTCTTAACCAGGAACCTGTCCTTCCCAGTCAGGTTCTCTCTGTAACACAAAGCCTCTAGGTGACACAGGGCCACCCCATGCCCTTGCTGAGGACACCAAAGCTGGCTCCTGCAGTTAAACATGAACATTATTCTTTTCCATCATTATCCAAAGCTGAGGAAAGTATAATCTGGTCTTTCCACTTAGCCTTGTCCTGACTAGACAACAGGCAGTCTCAGCAGCCTATGCCAGGGTGCCTCAGGAAATACCAGGAGTGGCCATTAGAGCCAGAGGCAGGGGACCACAGTAGGGGTGACAGACATGCTATTAGTCCAGTGAGCTAGAGTAGCAGTCCAATTTCAGGACTTGTCCTCTGCCCACCCTACTGCTGACCCTTCCAGGCTCTATAAATAACCCAGGTCCATGCATCAGAGGAAAGGCAGCCAGGTGGGTGTGGAGCAATCTCAGTGGAAAAGATGACTTCTATAAAGTAAATTAAGGCTCCCATCCAGATCAAGGGGTTGCATGGCAATTCTCCCAGATTCACTGTTCTTGGCTGCAAACAGACCCACCTGGATATGCAGGCTGGGCCAGCTCAGCAAAAGAAGAGCTAGAGGCCAAGAGGAACTAGGGGGGAATAAAAAAGTCAAAGAAGCTCCTCCCTGCAAGCTAGATTTTTTTTCTGTCCCCTTCTCTCCCAGCAACACACACCAGATGTCATCTACCAACCCTGGTCAGAGGAGCTCTTAGTGGAGGAGGGTGACGGACTGGTGAAAGAGGTGGCTCGATGTGGGGACCTCTTTCGAAAAGAAAGGGCTAAGAGATCCAGGGGAGGGTATCCCACTCCACAACTACCCCCTTGGGCTTCCTGAGCCAGGAAGGAGGGAGAGGACAGAAAAGGAGAGGAAAAACCAAAATGTGGGGCCAAGCTATACCACATGATCCCACACCCGGCAACCAAACAGCAAGTCATGAGGGAAGGAGGGGAGAAGGCCAGGGGAGAGGGGAGACAGAGCCAGGTCACAGCCATGCCTGCTACCTGCCCTCACACTAACCCACTTCCCATCTCCAGGTTACAGCCAGCCAGGAAGGCCCTTCCTTAGAAAAAACATTCAAGGTCAGACCCTTTTCTACACAAATCCTGCTTCTACTTGTGTCTGCACCAGGTTCAAGGCTCACCGCTCTCCTCCAGCAAGCCTTTCTAGATTTACTCAGTAGGTACCATTCCCCCAACCAGGCCTTGGGACACCTCTCCCCACCGAGGTAACACCCCTGTTCCCACCCTCTTCCCTTCCCCACCCAGGTCCCTCCCAAGTTAACCACTGGAGTGACCCACAGCAGGTGGTCAGGCCTGGTGACTGGCTTCCAGATCCCACCCAAGCCCAAAACAGGAAACAGTGCTTCATGTCTGAAGCCTTGATCTTAACACAGGGAAGATTAAATGCTGCCAAAATAAATGATTAAAAAAAAAAAACAAACCCTGCTGGCTCTTCTCAGGGGAAGTGACTGGAAGATGATCTATTGCTGTGAACTAACCTGCCTCCACCTGAGGAGGACAGGCAGGTCACTTGAAGCTTGACCAAAGTCTTTCCTTCCTTCACTTAGGAAAGTCCTCCTGTCCTCAGACTAAAGACCCTGGACACAGATCAAGGTGGAGGGGAGAGAGGGATAGCATCTCTAGAAAGTAGAGGGCATCATAGAATAGGCAAGAGGCAGTTGTCTGGCACAACCTCCGGGTTTGGTGGGGTGTCCCCAGTTTCATTCTGGCCCTGGAGAATAACGTCTCACCTTCCTTACCCACAGTTCAAGGCAGCCTCTCCATTCCCCCACGGGCTGGGAACAGAGCAGTGCCTCAGTTCCCCTTCCCTTCGAGAGCCTGGAGGCCTCGAGATTTCCCCAAAGCCTCAGAAACCCACTACTAACTTTCTTTGTCAGTCTACTCCTAACATTTGGTTACCACTCAAATTCCCCAGGGATCCACCAGTGCCCAAGACCACCACAGCGCCTGTCTGGGAGACAAGGAGAGGACCCCATAATGCTAAGAACCAACTTGAGTGCGTCGGTTTGCGGCCTTGAGCGCGAGACAAGGGGCTCAGGGTCTAGGCCGAGGTTCGGGATCCTGATCTCCACCGGTCCCACCTGGGGAAACCTTGCACCGCTTCCGTGACCCCGCGCGCCCTACTCACTGCGTGTGCTGGGCGCGGCCAGCCCCGAAGACCTCGTCCAGCGCCACGGTGGCCTGCCCCAGAAACTTGTCGACGCCGATAAGCGAGCGATGCATGGTGGTGAGCACCAGCTGACAGGCGGCGGCCGAGCCCGAGGCCCAGGGCGCCGGGCCCGCGTCCGCCTCCTGCGCCCGCAGCAGGCCGTCCAGGGCGCCGGGCGGCAGCTCGAAGGAGCACTCCTCGCGCCACTCGGGGCAGCCCTGCGTCTTCTCCACCACCGACGTGCTGTACTTCTCGCGGCCCACCTGGATCACGGTGTACGCGTCGCTGGTGCTGCCGACGCCTGAGCTCTTGCCCCGAAGCCCGCGGGCTCGCAGTACTGTCACCTGGACGTGCGTGGGCAGCCAGCGGGAGGGCCCCGAGGCCGGCTCGGCATCTCGCACCAGGGCCATGGCGGCGGGAGAGGGCCGGCAGCACCGGGCGAAGGCACGGGGCTCCGGTGACAAACTCAGCAGCGGCGGACGGCGCTCAGGAGCCCGCCACCAGCAGCGCCTCCCGCACACCGGGCCACTGCCGCGGAGGGTTGGGCTAGGCTGAGCCCGCCTCCCCGCCTCCCCGCCTCCCCGCCTCCCCGGCCCTGCCATGACGTCAGCGCCCTGGCCTCCACGGCCCCGCCCCCCCACCCGCAGCCCGACCCATCCGCGTGGTGTAGCTGTGCGGCAGTGCTGCGAAGCGCTGCGTCCGCCCTGGCCGCTGCAGCCCCGCAGGCGCGGAGGAGGCGGGGCGCACAGAGGGGCGGGGCGCGCGACCTCTGCAGCGGGGTGGGCGGGGATCCCGCGCTGGCCCCGCCCCGGGGATACCCGGCCCAACCCCACCTCCCGTTGGGTGAGCACGGCGCCCTCCTCCCAGTCTGAAGTGCCCGCTCTGAGCCTCCTGGCCAATCCCAAATCTTCCTTCGAGAAGCCCCTGCTCGGGAAAGCGCTCGCCCTAAAACGGTGTCGGCCCACCCCGCCCAGTCCCGCTATCTCCGTGGTGCGGACTTTTGGGGACGAAAGGGACCCCAGATGCCCCCAACGCACACCTCGAGACATACCGTCTCTTCCTCCAGCCCGCCCCTGCCGGGGAAAAAGCCCTACTAAAACCACAGCGATTCCTCTCCGCACGTGACAGCCCCCATTGGCGACTTGAAAGGGGGCGAGCTGCCGCCTCCAACCTCCCGGGGAGGCCAGAGACCTGGGATGCAGCGCTCGAGGCCGGGCGGACACTGCGGCGCAGGGCCCGTGATGAATAAATTTGAGTAACCGCATCAATATTTAAGGGTTCACTCCCAGCGCTTTGGCTCCTGCGTCATGGGTTGGGGGTTTTAAATAATTACTGACACCCATTATTAAGTGCCTACTATGTGCCGAGCCCTGGGTCGTGGCTGCACGCCTGGTTTATTATTGATAATGGTTAATAATTATAAAAGCTGAATTTCAGCCAACACCGGCCAGTGTGCTTTATAGACATTACCTCATTTTATCCTCAGGGCCACCATGTGGGGTATGGTTTTAATCCCTTTTTTCCAGAAGGTAAAATTCAGTTTAAGTAAATTTGCTCCCCATAACTGAAGATGGGATTTGAATCCACCCAGCTACCCCCAAAGCCTTTTTTTTTTCTTGACTTTTAGAACCTATACTTTTAATACAATAATTTAAAAATAAAGTGTAATAGACAGTTTTTAAAAACCAAATAGGTCAGAAGGGCTTGTGAATCCACCCCTGAATTCAGGGATACCCCTTAAAGCCATTTGTGTTTTCAGACCTGGTGGTTGCCCCCACATGGCTGTGTAAAATGCTTACATAGCTATATCTGGACTTAACCGGGGATGGTCTTTATCTGTTGCCTTCCTGCTATGATGGATAATGATTTTAACTGGCTCACACCCACTTCCCTCTCTCAATCTTGTAGTTGTTCTATTATTTTTAGTTAATCTATTGGATATGACTAGAGTGAAAGCCTTTATTTCTTCTTAAGGAGACTCTCAACAATACTCCTTAACTTTCCACTTCCCATGCCATATCCTCCACCAGCAATACCAATGCAGGAAACCAACAGATCTAGTAGAGGAGACCAGGGGAGCACAGCCCTAGCCCCCACAGCCTTCCTATAACCCTCCACTCAGAAGATTGCTGTAGGGAGTCCTGGGTTCTAGCTCTCAGCTTTGACTTAAATATGTTCTCATCTGAAAATTGAAACAATGATTCCTGCTTTAAACATTTGCTAAGATTATACAAACTGTCAAATTTTAATTAGGTGGAGGTCATCACAAATGATCCCAAGGTTGAATGCAACACCTATCCATAGCAAATATATACTAATACAATTTTTAAACTAAATTGGATGGGTTTGTAAGTAAAACATCTGAGAACTGGGGATTTAGCTCAGTGGTTTCATTGCTTGCCTCGAAAGCACAAGGTCCCAAGTTCAAAAACAAAAAAAGTACCAAAAAAAAAAAATGAGTCCAAGGAACCTGATTATTAAATACAACTTTTTCTGATTACAGAAGTAATTTGGAAAATACAGAAAAATATAAGGAAAATAAAAATAAATCATAATACCCCCAGTCAGAAATACACAGTTAACAATTTGTTATATTTCTTTCCAGTTTTCACACTGTGTGACTGTGTGTTATTTGGTATACATAATGGTTTTAAGGCAAGCAGAATGTGAGGATTGTATCTGTGGGCTCTGGAGTCCCAGTTCTATCATTTTCTTCGTGAGTATTATTGCATTCACCCCTGAAGACCACCATTTGCTCTTCCCTATAATGCTGCTCCCTCAGTTCCACTGTTGAGGGAACTGAAGCAAAGAGAACTTAGGTAATTGCCCTCAAGTTGCCGATTGGAAAATTGCAGAGACTGTGAAACAGGAGAGAAGGGCTCAGTGCTCCCCAAGAGCTCCTTTTAGTTTCCTTCCATGGCTGCCCCAAAACTTTACCACCAGTCCAGCTACATCAGGCTCCCTAGTGCCACTTGGGGAGACATTTGCTTTGGCTGCAGTCAGATCTGTCCCAGAGGATTCTGCCCTGCAGCCTCTCTGAATGACTCTACCCTCTGCAGCCTTCCTCAGTCAGGTTCATGAAGGGCCAGTTCCCTGTCTGTTTCGAGCACATTATAATAGAGTAAGGGTCATGAGTAGATTAGGTAACAGATAAATATTGATTTTCTGAATGGACAATTTATTTATATATATCAACTTATATAGCAAACGCTTATTTTATAAGGTATATATAAACAGGTATAAGGTCTTGATCTCTGTTATTTATATGAATATGAGATTAAATTGAGTTTAAATTATTTATTGAACAGAAGTTTAGGTTTAATTGAGGTGGGCTGGGAGAGCACACCATTTTTAATGTTTCTTGGGGGGTTGGGGTGTTTTTTTTAATTTAACTGGGTTTTTGTAACATCTATATCTTTTTTTTATATCTCTTGAGGCTAGACTATGTGTCTTGTGAGTGAAGCTTAGCCTTTCATTAGAGAAGATCATGTCTGATTCACAGCTCTGTGATGCCTCTTTATATTTTTTTATGTGATTTTTGTGGTAATTTTTACACATCTTGTCTGTCACTCTAGTTGTGAGAGTTGGGCCATCTTTTTGGCATAGCCAATCTGTTTGTTGGGGGCAGTATTGCTGTCTTAGAGTTTTGAAAATTCTTCACCTCAGCTGTCAGCACACTGTGATGTCATTGCATACTTGACATGACCAACCCCATGTTCCTTACACTTGTCCATGACCAAACAGAAAACCTGACACTGCACATGCATGAGCCTCCCTTTTTTCCTATATAAGCAACCTCCCTATATCCTTAGCAGGGTCACTCTGCACTGTTTCCCCTTTTGTTTCAGCATGAGTTCTAATAAAGCCTCTTTCAGATGGCAAATTTTTGCCTATTCATACCTTCTGTCTCCAATAAAGAGCAGGTATACTAGGAGCTGGTAATACCAAAGGGCACTAGCGCCAAAAGCCACCAGCAGCCAGAACTATTAGCACTGAGAGTAACTAGCAGCGGAGAACTAAAGGGAGCAACAGAAAATTGCCAGGACCTACCATTTCCAGTAGCCAGAAATGTTCCCCAGTTTGGCTTGCTCTGAGCAAGAGCAAGAGAGCAGCTAATACTAACAGAGCTGATAGCCATTGGCATTCAAAGCTGATAACACTGAAAGAGCTACACTTTGCCAATTTGTGATTTTTGTAGGAACTGAGCAAGATTCTTCAGCTGATTAGTAACAAGTATCTTGGAAGCCCAGCTGGGGATTCTCCCCTTCAGAGGGCTCTGAAGAAGAAGACAGACAATGGTGATACCCATTGACAGGCTCAAAATCCAGATCATGTCTGATTTCCATCTTACTTGCAACTAAGAATCCATGCTTGCTATGACAACTGGACTTGAATTCAGGCCTCAGGGACTTTTCTGACTGGCACTCTGCCTTCACAGCAATTTACTGGTCATCTAAGCACTACACCCATTTACAGTTGACAAAATAGGAAGTGTTCTCATATCCCTTTTATAGACGAAGCTGAGGCACGAAGAGGTTAACCAACTACCCAAAGTTACAAAGTCAGGATGAAGTCCCTGCTTTAAGAGTATATTCCCTGGTGGGCTGGGGATTAAGCTCAGTGGTGCTGTGCCTCACAAGGTCCTGAGTTTGATCCCTAGTATGGAAGAAGAAAAAAAAAAAGAGTAGATTCCCCAAGGGCTTCACAAATGAAGATATCATTATCAAATTCAACTAAATAAATTTGTCAGGCTTCTTCAATGATCTGTTTCATGTTTGCCTGTTCTCCAACATGACTGCTTCCACCTCCCTCCCTCTTCCTCTTCACGGAGGAGTAGCAAGGCTCCAGGAAGGGCAAATGAGATCTCTGATGGGCTACTTTGCCTCCTTCCTCCTTCCTTCTGCCCTGGCTCACACAATTTGGCAAGTTCAAGTTTCCTGCTGGCTCAGGATTATGGTTACAGAAGGACAATAAAGCCAGGCAAAAATCCCCTGCAGGTCACTTGGCCCTAGGAGAAAAGAATAGGTCTTCCAGCTGTCTGCTATTGGGAAAAAGCAAAAACTACAGATGGTGAGGTTTCAGCCATCCCAAAGTACATGTCCTCCTGTAGAAACTGAGGCAGCCCCGTTCACCCACTGCAGCCTTGGAGAAACAGATGATTCTAAGACTAGCACAGGAAAAATACAACATGAGCCTGGATCATTTGTTTGGTTTTTATGGTATTGAGGATTGAACCTAGGATCTTTTCACTGAGCTATATGCCCAACCCCTCCCCATACTGGGGATCAAACTCAGGACCTTGTGCTTTCGAGGCAGGCACTGGAACCACTGAGCTAAATCCCCTTTTTTTGAGACAGGACCTTGCTAAGTTGCTAAACATCTTGGTCTGGGCTTGAAGTTGCTATCCTCCAGCCTCAGCCTTTCACAGTGTGGGATTACAGACATGCACCATATGTCCACCTAGTCTGAATTGTTTTGTAATGGTAGAAAGTAAGGAAGTCGGGTGGGTGGGGTGTGGAAGTATGTCAAAAGAACACAGGAGATGGGGATTTAGTTCAGTGGTTCCGCTT